AACAGGTGAGTTTACATTTTTCTAAGTGGTTAGATATGATGATATAATGTTCTTTATCTATTTTAACATGGTGAGGTTGAAATCTGTTTCCGCTTGCATTTGGTTTTTAACTCTAATACGATCTGCAAAACCTCGATTATGGTGATAATGGAAGAAAACTTTAGAAGTATACTGCATTGCGTAAGAATCTCTGTGCACCATTCTCTCTTAGCTATCACTAAGCGACAATCAAGCTTTTGTGGTGTCTCAGTTTGTTCTTTGATATATATGCCCATAACCTTTGTTTTGTATCCTATCTTACTGCTGTACTCATTGATCAAATGTTATTTACATTATAATGCCTTCTTACCCCTCCGTAAATTAATTATGCTATATTTATCCTTAGATTGACCGGCATGTACTATCAGCAAGCAATACGTAGAGCATGTATGCGTATATTAATAGGAATTTGTTGAGATCTTCACAGCAAAAATTACAGCTGTGCTTTGCTCTTTTCTTATCTCGGAAATCGGAATTCGCAGTCACTAATCTCAACAGATTTATTCCTAAAACCTAGTGCATAATCAGAATAATGGTTTATTGTTGCTCTTGAAGCTTGATCTGTTTAGGCTGTTAGATCTGCTTTGTATGATATCAATATCCTTAAAGTAATGTTTATACATTAGATCTTCCTTATGTTTTTTCTCATTGTAGCTTACATGGCGAGGAGATTCTCATTTACATCATATCAAGCAACATGTGACATCTTTTATAGAGAACAATATCAAAAGCTTTTATAGTTATTACACATTCACGAACATTAACATGTCCAATCAATGTTCGAACAGATAAAAATGATCATTCTCGCATATTTTGTTAGAGCAAGGTTACCCTTCCCAACATCAAACGATCATTATTAGCAAAGCTTTTAGTAAGATTACCTCCGTCTTCCCAGCAGCTCAAGCCATTGCTATGATATGTGTTCTAAGGTTTACTTGTGCTATAGCTATGCATGATATACTTGCAAATTCGCAAATATTTTTGCTCTTTATTTTGTTACATTCAGAACAGTTCAGGATATAGCGTATCATATCAGTTTTAATTGAATTGAGCTTGAACATAACTCAGGATTGGATGGATCAAGAAAGACCTTTAAGATCTACTCTTTGGTGAAAGGTAAATTATCTTCTAAAATTAAACAAGCCTATTGAAAGGTAGTATAAATGTATTTGTTTGGATCTTTAAAATTTTTTGGCGTGGCACTTAAATAAACCCTTAAGAAAATGAGTTAGAAAATGAAGTGAAGTGGAGAAACTATTAAGGCTTGCTTCATTAAAGGAGTTGCCCATCAAATGATAGTAAATATAATAATGTTGAGAGATAAAATAGGAATTGGATAGATGTTCGTAGATTACGCTAATTTGAATGGTGCGTGTTAAAGAATGCATGACGTCTATTGTAATTGATTCACATGGATGCAATAATATGATACACCATGCATTAACACTTTCTTAAGGTTCATCACAATCAAAATTCACCAACAAATGAAGAGAATACCTTTATAATTAGCAAATGTGAATTATAGCTATAAAGCTATGGCTATTTTAATAGAAGAATGCCAGAGCAACTTATTGACATTAATGAATATCATCTTCCATTGTTTAAAAAGTGAGGAATAATATAGGCTTAATTAATGATATGCTAGTGAGATTATAACTAAAGGATGAGTGCTTGAAAGAGATGTATAAAAACTTGATACCCACCAAAATGCATTGTAAGACAAGTCTACAAATATCGTGTCAGAGTTGCGCTTCAGAAATTTTTTGAAATTTGACATTTTATGAGATAGAAGCATTAAAGAAAATTTATAGAATGTTAAATAGCTAATGTGGAAAATGGACTCCCTTTTGTA